GAGGAGTAGTGAGCAATATGCTTAACGTAGTACATACATATAAAAAGCAAAGCGTGGGCGATTTAAATAAATTGCAAAAAATACACTTCTGAAATAAATTTAATCTTTCGTAATTGGTCACGAACGTGGCGTCAAAAGTTGGGGGAGGGGAGAATTTCACCCTAGTGACTTGTCAAAACTTCGTTACGAAATGGTGTGAGGTGGCACGTAAATCGTTTGTCTCGGGTAGCTGTCGAAGTGGTTAGCTACGTTGAGGTCGTACAGTTAAGTTTCTTACGTTCTTCAGATTCTTTGTGATCTGTGGTGTTCAGTATCAAGTGTCTGTGATACGATGGTGAGAATAAATGTGACTTTTTTTTCGCGTTGCGTCGAAGAAAGTGTTTGGCTGTCATTGAATGGGCGCAAGAACGTGGTTTGATTGCTGAAGGATTTAAGTGTACTGGGTAAGTGTCCTATGAAAGTGTTCAAGCGAAAGATGTGCGATACTTTTCAATGGAAGAGTAACAAGAAAGGGGCCTCTCCTCATGTGCGTAAGTGTTTCGTGCGGAAGGGGTCATGGTTAATAATAACTTATCTTTGGGTCAAACCGCCAGTCAAACCTAAAACCACCACTCAAATCGCCATAAAAATCGCCTATCGATAGATTTCATTCGTCTCTGTCAGAGAGCTTAGCGTATTTTGAAGGAGGGCATAAGGAGACTCCCCTTCCCCTTCCCCTTCTCCCCCTTCTTCCCCTCCCCGCCCCCTCCCTCGCCACGCACTTCTCTAAGGGTGTACCGTGTACCCTACTTTAAACACAAAAAGTGCATTTTTTTTAAAAAAAAAAGGGTACCTGCTATAAGAGATATTCCATTACATCCAATCATCATTATTCACCTAGAACACAGAAACTTTCATTTCTGAAAGAATGGTTTGTTTTTTTCTTAAGGAAAAAGTCAAAAGTGCCTCTGATTTCTATAGTTAAGAGAAGATCCTCTGATGCTCTGTGTTTTTTAGGGAATGGCTGTGAGAAATGAATCAGATGCACACATTAATGACCATTTATGGCCCACTTTGAATAAAATCATAGTAGTACATTCACAGTTAACTTAGCACTTAAAAAATAGTTCATGTCTCCTACTTAATTAGATTTTTAACTAGCACACTCCAACGAATGCGTTTTTTATTTATTGCAAAATCTTTATTACACTCGAAGACTAGACTATGCTAGCCATTTTCATATGGATCACAATCTCCACGAGCTGTAGCTTCTTTACTTGCACAATTAGGATTACAAAAATACAACTGATGTACTTTCAGAAATGATAGCAATCCATTCACACGCAACCAAATATGTATATATTTAGTCACCTCTTCATAAGTCATTGGAGACCCAAGAGAATTAGTGCTGAACTTTATGCCTCGTTTAGAATAGAATTATTCTTATAAAAATGAACATCAGAGCTAACAACGGCTTTCAGGAACCGCTTGATCCATATAACGGAAATAACTTTTCACAGTTACTCCATCATACCACACAATCCCCATTAAAGAGATATGCTTATCTCGCCTTTGATGAGACTGATATTCCAGAAAGTCGTTTAGAAGCTGCCCCTACAGTTTCACTTGAATACCACGATCAATAGGTTTTCGTAACATAAAACAGTTTTCCAAGAATGTGCCGAACGAAACACACAGAACTTACGAAAACTTCCCAAACATCACAGAACTAATGATAGCCCATACGCTTTCGGAAAAATTTCCCTTCGCTGATGTCTTCGTTCTTGCAGTGTCAATGATGTGCATTCTGCTGAGTTATGTCCACATTTTCTGAGATCCGCCGACTGTTTCGCTCGGCATCCTTACAATGTCGTTCAAGAAAGACAGTCTCCAATGAAACCCAACGAACACCCGCATTTCGTCCAAAAGTCGCAGTGCCATGTCTCTCTACACCCACACTCCCAACCTTCTCACGCTAATCAACCTAGTTGGCTGCTCCTTTGCTCGACTCTCGGAGAGGTCCGGCCACGTCTCGAGTAGATGCTTTGCAGCACGCGCGGTTTTAGCCCGCGGAACCGGCAATCGAGACTCTGGCGCCATCCCACGTCGAGTTCATGAACGTTCGTATCTGCTTGTTCATATTCTGTCTATACAATCTGCAGGATTATAAGTATCGAAATACATACAATGTGCTTACATGCACTTTCATATTTCTTTCACTTTACAGTATCATCTAAGGCAAAAGTACATGGTCGTAGAGATACTGCGTCAATGTTTTCGTATATCTTAGGATAGACACGTTCTATTTCATTTTTATGCTCATTTAATATGTATTTCCTCGTTTATTTATTCAAATATATAATTATTTGGCATTCCGCCCTTTCTAATATCCCATTCTCACAACTCCACAGAGCAATATTATTACTTAATATGCTTAATGGATTTAATGATTCCTCCTAAATATTGCTCATAGAAAATTATGTAATATACTAAAGTTACAACTGTGTTTTCAATGTAAGATTTTCTATAATAAAACTTTCAAGCACATAAAAATATGAAGTAAATAATTTTAGTGATTAAATTATCAATAGCAATTCATAATTCAGAAAATATTAAAGTAGTAAAATGAAGAAAAAAACGTATTCTAACAGCAAAGAGTAAACGAATAAACAAAATCTCCAATCCTAGCAAGATGTGTGATGTATGGTTAAAAATGATTACATTCACAAGTACTTCCAACAAACTTAATAAAAAAGATTAATGGAATTACAAAACTGGTTGGTACCACAGAATCTTACCACTTAAACATCCAGACACAATGAAAGGGTGCCGTGGGGAAAATGCGGTACTCACAACTACATTGTCATGAGAAATATTTCTTGCCGCTTCATACAACTGAACAGGTCCGTCGACCGGGCAACAGACTGACAGTTCCGAACAATTAGGGGAAAAGGCAAGAATCCTAAGCCCGCAATCGTAAGGAGAACATATCAGTCGGCCGTCGGGGGAGAAACTTAGCTCTTTGGTATATTCCTTGGCAACGTTGGGCTCCTCGATGTAGTGCGTTAATCTGGGGGTATTCTTCTGAATCGGGGCGTTCTTCCTTGCGAATCGTCGCGCCAACAGCCCCCAGCGAGCATTTGCCCCTGGCAACCAGTCCCTCCTAGGCGCCTCCGGGGCAGCCGGGCGGGGCGTCCCGCCCTCGGCGCGCGAGGGGCCGGCGGCTTCGCCAGAGGAAGGGCCGCCCTGAGAGTCGCTTTCCTGAGCACGACGCTCGTGGCCTCTGATCCACTCAGCAACGGATTCCTCTCGACTCGCTTGTAACACGACGCGGAACGGTTCGTTCGTGTGCAGCCACCCCTCCGAATCCTCGTTTCCACCGCTTGCAGTGCCGCTCCCGTTCCCGCCTGATGGCCTGAGGTCGTAGTCGTGCCAAACGATTCTAGGGTCCACGCCGCCATGCACGTGTGTTCCGCTTGGTCCCGCGGCTGCTTCTCCCAGCTGCCCCGCACCGACCTCCCACCGCCGTGGCCCGGCTCCCCCCGTAGCTGCGCTCAGGACTGAGAACGAGGATGTGGAAGGAGGATGTTGAGTGCCGGGTGACGAAGAAGAGCTGCTCTCGTCCTCGACGCGTCCTCCACTGGCAGAGGACGTGGAGGGCTGTATCGCCCTGAATGAAAAGTGAGTGTAGATGGGTCCCGTGGCCTCATCTGCTCCAGAGGCTCCCACTGCATCTCCTGCTGCATTCCGGGCCCCGCTCGCGCCACCAAGGTTTTGGGAAGCATGGAGATTGCCTTCGGGCTCCATCGCCATTGTCTCCCACATATTAAACGGCCTTTCCGCCACCACCACTCTCACTTCGTTGGTGGACGCAGCGATCACAGTGTACAACTGATGTGAGATGTCATCTGTCCTCTCCATGACGTGGACTCTCTGAAGCGGCGGAAGGTCATTATTGTCGCTGTCAAAATCGAATATGCTGCTGTCATCGCTGGACTCCGAAGAGGAATCTGATGATTCAATGTTCACCTTGGCTTCTTTGTCGGCAAGGTGATCCTCGTCTTTTGAAGGGGGCTTTTCTTGGATGTCGTGCGTGCAGCTCCACTCAGACATGTCGTCTCTGGCCACGTTGCGACTGACGGCACACCATCCCTGTGGGTGGATCTCCAAGGATGATATCGCTTTCGCGGCATCGCCTCTGGGGAAATCTGAGATGAACTCTGCCCGGTTGCTTTTGCGCTCCATAGAAAATAAATGTGTGTAAGCAGTGGCGATTGGAATGGGTTTCTTGCAAACCTGCATGAGTCTGTAAATATTTGGTCTAAAACCATTAAAATCTGTTTCCACTGTGTCAAAGTCCAAGTCATGAATAATCATTAGATAACCCCCGTTTGTCGAGACAACCATTTTTGAGGAGTCAGGAGTTAGACGCATACGCGTCATACCATCAAAATGCAGCAATCTGTTGCGAACACATTCGTTTTCGCTGTACTGATTTAAATTCCAAGCGAAAATGTTACCATCAACACCACTAGATATAAGCAAACCATCTGACACAAATTCAAGGTTCCTCACTCGGTTTGTGTGTCCACGCAGGGTTTGCACGGAGGATTTTAAACTCCTTGCATCCCAGATGGACACATGGTTATCGTCGCTACACGTGCCAAACATTCTAGAGTCCAAGAACTTGGCATATCCAATAGTCGAGCTATGGGCGTTCTGTACGGTTTGCACTAATTTTTGCGACACAGGATCAAACATTATGATGCTTTTTCTCTCCCCTACTGCAACTAATAGAGAACCATCAGGGGAAAATGCGAGGTTGTATATCCCATTATCAGCAACTTCATCGTTATCATAAGCGTAATAAGATCTGACTGATGAATAGAGACTTTTCATTAAGTGATCTGGGTGTCCCGGGGGCAATCTTTGACCTATTTCTCTCTGTCGAATCCAGGAAGGACTCGTATTGGTTCTTTCCGTCGACATTGTGTCCTTAAATGTTTTCTGACTGCCAAATCGATGAAATGTACAGGTTGCGCAGTTACACCTGCAGACGTCAATTGCAGAGACGGCTTGGGCAGGCGACAGCTGTCGAAAGCTGCTCCAAACTAGCAGTAGTTGGAAGCAACAGGATCGCGCAGACCGGAGACCTGCAAAAGAAATGCGTCTTAATACGTAAGTTCACTTGCAAGAGCGACAATGCGTTCAGAGAAGGAAATGGGGCCAAATTAAAAGTGAATGGAAGAATTTAGAATCACTATTGTCACATTGCTCACTATTGCTCGTATGTCTAAATAATGTTCTCAACAATTATTTTCTTAATTCGAGGTTCTACATTACGAACATATACCACCCTCATGAATGTCCGTAACATTTCGTCAGAGAGAATTGCTTATTAGTATTTCTTATTCATAATCATAACGGAAAAACTGCTCATAAATGTATGTACTGCTCACAAATGTATGTACTGCTCACAAATGTATGTACTGCTCACAAATGTATGTACTGCTGTACATTGACAGTTTCGGTAGCAAATTCTTCAAATTTGGACACATCCTGGTAAAGTTTTTTTATAAAATTTAACAAGATTTATGACGCTATTAGAAGCAGATTTTGAACAGGAAAACCAAGTCAATATGTTAAAGCTGGATGTTAAGGGAAACATCTAATGAAAATGAAAATGAAAATGGTTTTGCAAATAACAGGGAAATTTCGTTGCAAGTTTTACAAATCTCGGAAGTATCTATACAAAAAGATTTTCAATTATTTTGAAAGCTTTCAAAATCAACTAATACAATATTTTTTGTGTATTTTCAATTATCATGTTTTTTAAACAGGAAAAGGTGGAATTTTCTTTAAATCCGAAATTTCCATAGTTGTAACACCGCTTTGAATGATTTTGGTTGTCATTTGATACATTATTTTTACTTGTCTCTTCAATTTGAAATTTATTTCGTGTAAATTTTGAAACATAAACTCGGCAATAAATCATTTTACGTTCCATAAACCTTGTAAAGTATTGCCAAGAGTCAGCCACCAAACGTCATTGAAGGTAAATCCTGTTGGCTGCTTCTTGGATTTGCCAAACATTGTCAATGTGATCTTATAAAGTTCACACAGTGCACAAATACATCGCGTTTCAATACTGCAACATGTGAACACTCCTGGTGATTTATGCAATGAATTGTTGGAATCGATGACCTGCAGATATTTGTCAATGCCACGGACGAAAACAACTTGAATATCTTTTATATCTGTTATCTACCGCAAAATAAAATGCTGGGCACAATTTTTTAAGCTGTGTATCAATACATGCATTTCCTGAGTTCGGTGAGAAATCTTTGTCTAAATTAATAATCTCCTTTTTCTAGAAGTTTTATCCGAGTTTGAAACACATTTTTTTTTAGAAAATCTTCTTTTGTGAATGGACGATTTGCTTTCATAGTTTCCAAGCTGGGTTTAGAGCTTATACGTAAACAATTGTGTGAACATTGTGCTCCTTCTCAAATTAGTTTCTTTTCCTAATAGAACATCGCGCAACAGCTTGATTCTTTCTTCCACTTGAATGTTTTCATATTTTCCATAAGTGTCTATAATGTCACCTCATTACGGTCCCCAAAATATCGTTACAATTTTACTTCTCAAGCACTTCACTGCTTCTTTTTGACCAAAAATGACAACTGCCATTAAACTTAGTCTCAACAGTTTTTATTTTTTGTCACACAGTAAACAAATGTCTTGGTCAGTTCTATCGCAGCGTTGCAACGAACGGGAACAATCTTAATATTCTATTGAACCGCGGTTCGATATATGGTAGCACGTAGGTCCACCTTTGGTGTTTTCCCACCTCACATGTCATTCTGCTAGGGAAGACGACGTGCCCTCTTCTTTTCGTCGCCATTCGTTCTGCTCAGAGATCATTCTACGCTTCGCCTCTTTTGGACCTCCCACTGTAGCTTCAATCTGGAGATATTGGAGCATGCCTCCGCTGCCTTGTCCGCAGTCATGCTAATGTGCAGTCCAGAGCTAAGCCCGTGGTCGATTTCGATTCCCAAATATGTTATTTGACGTCTCTAGTTTATGGTCACATCCCCTAATCCCCAATATTTAGGGAACAGAATTTTGTCCATAACAAATACTGCTTCAGTTTTCTCCACAGCCATATGTAGAAATCTTTTGGCAAAACACCTTTTCTTCCTAAAACGTTTCGTACACTTTCATCTCCAGCAAATCGATATCGTTGCTATGCCACATAATGAGAATATCGTCTACGTAGCCTAACAATTCGGTGTCTGGTGGGGAGTCATTGTGTAATACTGTCATATACGGCATCATAAGAATGGACTTAGTCGATGTAACATGTGGTGTGCCACAAAGCTCTAGGCTGAGAATGTGTCCATGTACACTACACCTCTCTCATAAATGTTATCTTCGATCATCCTCAATAGGTTTTTCGGGACCTTTTTCTCTACCTATGCCTCAATGATGTCCTTCCATCGGGCAAAATCTGAGTTTCTTCTATCTCGCTTGGCTAACTGCAATACTGACTCGACGATGGCCACCATCCTGAAGGAAATATCCCTTCCAGAAGCCGTATTGTCTGTAAGATAAATTTGTCCTTTTCAACAGGTGTTTCTCCAGTCTTGTGAGAATAAGACTCTCGAGTAGCTTTGCCTCTTAAATATTACGGGCACGCGGTCTAAAAGTCTGATTTCCTTCCCAAGGCTTACCTCTTTCGACTAAAAAGTTTCTTTCACCGCATGGAGAATGCTAATTTCCTAAGAAAGCAGTTGAGAACATAACAAGCAATCCGCGTACTGCTCTGAAACTATTTTGAGCATTTCGTTTGGGATTCCGCTGAAACCAGGCGCTTTCCCACGTTTATGGTCTGTACGGCACTTCGCAGTTCTTCCAGAGTAAACATATTTCCCTAAATAAAATTTTCCGTAATAACGAGATATTTGTGGGAAAATAGACCTTTTCGAGAGAAAATAGACCTTTTCGAGAGAAAATAGACCTTTTCGAGAGAAAATAGACCTTGTCGTGGGGAAATAGGCCTTGTCGTGGGGAAATAGGCCTTGTCGTGGGGAAGTAGACCTTGGCGTGGGGAAGTAGACCTTGGCGTGGGGAAGTAGACCTTGGCGTGGGGAAGTAGACCTTCAAGTATTCTGCAGTCCGTTGTTAATGTCACAATTTTTTGGCAATGCCCCAAGGGTCGTTTTCTGTGAGGCTCTTCCAATATCTGGATTTTCTTCTTATCTCTTGAGCAATATTCGAGAACTCTTGTACTAATCTGAGGGAGCAATTTGTGCGTGTGGAATGGTGACAGAAACGTCGGCATCTTCGCCATGGACTCGGCGTCACCCGGACAGCCTAGTAAATACTATTCTTCCAATATGATCGTACATCTTTCTGCATTCAAAGGCAGCATTGTTTTTGTACCCCTCATAAACTTTATCCACGCCCTCTTGAAGGTGTAGATGGTCCACCAGAGGGTTAGAGTTTAATTTGGTGTCGGCTGCATACATCTTGAAATGGCATACTATTTGGTAAGTCGCTAGGGTAAAAGACAAATAAAATTAGTCCCAGTACCGATCCCTGGAGAGCTCCAATGCAAATGCTCCTCTGTGATGACTTCTATTCTTCCATTCTAGCATCAAAGCGGCGATCCTCGAGGTAGGACTGTATCAAACGCAGAAACTTCCCCTTATACCAAGATGAGCAAGTAGACCCGAATTTTTGACGATTAAATCAGAATTTTTGCAGTTTATTTCACGTATTTCTAGGTTTCTGTCCATAAGTTGCTGTTCCAGTTCGTTAACCTTTTGTATAGAATTGTCCACTTTTGCATCTTCATCTTCATTTCTTCTTTTACATCTTTTAATTCCTTAATTTCTTCAATTATGTCGTCATATTTTTGCTTAAAAAGTCCATGCTTTTTCGAATTTCGCTCGTGCTGTTACGTGTATTTTTTATTAATTTCGTCCAAATTGTTTTCAAGAAGATTCGGGGAATTTGGAGCGTTTCATGTTCTATATTTAAAGCGGCACCGTTATTTTGTTTCTTTAAGGTTTATTCTAATAATGGTATAATAAAAAATATTATTGTGATTATTATTTTGTGATTTATTATTTATTATTATCATTATCATATAACTTATCGTTATTCACCTACAAACAACTTTCTCTACACATACTCATGCATTTGTATTGTTAGTGTTAATATCCCCTCCCCGAAGGTAAGCGTTAGCTACGCCGCGGTAAGGCCTGTATTGGCAAGAGTTATTTAAATAAAAGAAATATTACAAACCATTAGCTAATTAATGTTACCTACAATTTTTTCAACGTTTCGGGAGCTTAAATTTAATCCTCCCTTCACGTCATCGTGATATA